TTTTTTTTTTTTTTTTTAAACCAGCAGTTATGGAATAGTCACTGTTGGAGTAGTGATTAGTAGTCACTAGTATTATTGAAAAATAATTTCTGGTCAACACAAACTAGTTACTGCGTTACATGATAGTAGTTAAACAGCTATTTGTTCAATTAATAAATGTTTGCCATAAATTAGCCTATGCTTAAATATCAGCTGTATATTAGTTAACAGCCCAAGTGTTTAACCTCAGTATGTAGCAGTTACTTGCATACAAGATTTTATAGTGGCTTTTTACATTTAAGGTTTCTTGAGACTGTGGAACTGCAGATCAGCTTGAAGAACTACGATCCCCAGAAGGACAAGCGTTTCTCAGGCACTGTCAGGTTCGGAGCTTTACTGTATCACCCAGCCTTCTGTCTGCCTGCCCTTTGCTCTGCCTGAATAAATATCTGAATATCTTGACATGAATTTAATTATTCAGTCAATTAAATTTCATGAATGGGGAGGTTAAAGGCGGGCAGTAGAGAACAGCCTCGGGTAGTCTGTCTGAACCATCCATTCTCTGGGTTGGTGAAGCAGGCGGACCCCTACCCTGGGTCTTAAAACATGAGGGGAGGCTATAGGTGACGGTGTTCATGCCGTCATACCTAAGCCGAACATTTTGTTAAGTGCCTGTGCTATCAACACCTGATTACAGCTGAGGTGGTATGGGTAAGACTCCTCTGTTCTGCCTCACGTTGGTCAAAAGGGGTCCGATATGCTTCTGTTTGTCAGTCAGTGTTTTCCGTCACCCCTCGCAGGCTGAAGACCACCCCACGTCCCAAGTTCTCCGTGTGCATTCTTGGTGACCAGCAGCATTGTGATGAAGCCAAGGCCGCTGAGCTTCCACACATGGACATCGAGGCTCTTAAAAAGCTCAACAAGAACAAGAAAATGGTCAAGAAGCTGGGTGAGTTTCCTTTCGAGGGAGCATTAGCAATAAAACATGCATGTGTTCAGTGCTATAGTTTATGTTCTGGATTGAGTGTACATATTGATGCATCTTGTTGGTTTTCTTTTTAGCAAAGAAGTACGATGCTTTCCTGGCTTCTGAGTCTCTGATCAAGCAGATTCCTCGTATCTTGGGACCTGGCCTCAACAAGGCAGGAAAGTTCCCCTCTCTGCTCACCCATAACGAGAACCTGGCCACCAAGGTGGATGAAGTGAAATCCACCATCAAATTCCAGATGAAGAAGGTATGCTTTTATTAAAGAGTTTGCTTTTACTCAGCAATGGAAACATTAAATTGATCAAAAGTGACCGTACAGGCATTTATAATTTTTCCTTAAGACTTCCATTTTAAATAAATGCTGTTTTGAATTTTCTATTGATAAACAATTCTGAAAAAAATGTATGACTTTCCACGAAAATATGTAATGGGAGTAATGACTGCTCTCAAATTCAGCTTTGTCGTCACAGGAATAAATTACATTTTAAAAAGTAGAATTTTTTTACCCCCCCCCCCCTTTTAAATATATTATCACAATATTACTGTTTTTACTGTATTTTTGTTCAAGTAAATGGAGCCTTGTTGAGCATAAGATACTTCTTTCAAACACATTTTTTTAAAATCATGTAATCATGATGTGTTGTACATGCTGATTGAGAGGCTTCATTTTAAGAACATCTGAATTTGTATTACTTGAAATTGATAATGGTCTTCTGTCACGTTCAGGTTCTGTGTCTGGCTGTGGCCGTTGGTCACGTCAGGATGACTGAGGAAGAGCTGGTCTACAACATCCACCTGGCTGTGAACTTCCTGGTGTCTCTGCTGAAGAAGAACTGGCAGAATGTCAGAGCGCTCTACATCAAGAGCACAATGGGAAAGCCACAGCGCCTCTATTAGAGACTCTGTTCCTCAAGTTTCTACAATAAATGTGGAGTTGATCCAAATCTCGTCTGTTTTTGTGTCTTTCCTAATGTTCTTTCAAATGAGTGCTCTTTCTACGTATGCTCATTTGATCAGTATTATCATTGTGAAAGTTGCACAAATTGATTAGAATTGTGTCTCAAAGGTTTGTAGAACATTTATAGACTAAGGAGGCTGTGTAGTTCTTAGAAAAAGCTTGATGTAAAACTGCTTCACATGCATAAATTAAGAATTTTATATTCAATTGGCTATAACATTAAAGGCAACTTTTGTGAGATGGCTCACCTTCATGGTGTATTGTAGCATGCACACCAAGCTAAGTATATTTTGCAGTTGTGTTTTGTAGCTTTCATTTTCACTCAATTCTGGTTTTGTTATACTAGTGTGTTTGGCAGCCATGACTTGTCTAAAACAGTGTCATTAGTCTGCCAGTTTCCTTGACTATCTCTTAATGAGATTAAGTAGTGTGTTGGGAGTAAGGAGAGGTGGAGAGCAAGAAATCACAGCAAACGTCATGGTAAGCAAGCATTTGCTTTTATTTTCTATACTTTGTGGATATTACCTTGAGCAGTAGCAGTAAATCTGCATGTGAGATGGGTGATTATTGAGGTTGGACTGAATTTAAGTCGTAAGTAGATGGCTTTTGTTCATGGACCAGAATATGTAGGTAGAATTCATAATTTGTGTAGAAAACTTGTTTTTAATGTTTAAAACAAATGTAAAACGCCCCCGGTTTCACTGACATGGCTTAAGCCTAGTCCTAGACTAAAATGTAAGTGAGCTGTTTCAACTGAAAGAAACTTGCACTGACTGATCTTAAAATATATCTATATATTGTTTTGTCTCAAAAAGCACACCAGTAATGTTTTTTTTTTAAAGCACATTTATAAAAAAAGACTTAAATGTCCTAATTGAGATATGGCCTAATCCTGTTTTAGTCTAAGCCCTGTCTGTGAAACCGGCCTTAATGTTTTGTTGGGGAAATAAGCATACACATTAGTTAAGATTCTACAGTCTGGATCTATTTTTTTAGACTCAGTTCTTTATTTCGCGACTTAGAATTAATCTAAAAATGAAGTAAATGTTTTGAAAATTGTTTTCAACATTTTCATAAACTTTGTCTAATCCAGTCATTACTATATTTTTATAGCATTATGTACTATAGTATATATTACAATATATTTTGTTTAAACGATCAGGCCTGTGAAGAAAAGCAAGTCCCGAGTCTGACCAACAAGCAGACAGAGACCAGTGAAAATGACTGAGGAAGGTAATGCCTCTACAAAACCATTTACTTACCATAATTTCCTGCTATACAGGGTATATTAAAGACATTTAAGGGACTTTTTCCTCTTCTGAAGGGTCTAGACACGAGGACCAAATTGCCTTAGAAGAGTCGTCTGTTATGGTGAGGCTGGGTCCTAACAGGTGATTTACTCAGACATAAACAAAAGCTAGCTTTTTAAGCACATCACATCAGCCATTTATTTGGTTATTCAAATATTTGATTTCTGATTTATGGACATAAATTCCAATAATGTCTCTTATTTCACTCCATCTTTATTGTTGGTTATTTCACCCCATCATAGTGTTGATATGACAGAGGAGGAATTGGAGGTAAATACATGCATGCATACATTAAATGGACATTCGTACCATCAACGTGAAGTGATGGTTTTCAGTTCTCTTTAAAGTGTGGCATACCTTCATAATTCTGTTCCATGTAGATTCTCTTTTTTTATCTAAATAAATGTATTTTTATTTATTTTTTATGGTATTTTTATTTAACTTTTAAATTGTATTTTTATTATTATTATTATTATTTAATTTAGCTTTTCATTACTTTACAAACCCCCTGCACAGGCTGCTTTCTCTCAGCTGTCTCTGGCCTTTCGCTGTGACCAGTACACGCTGTGTCACAATGCTGAGGACAACCTCAAACTGGAAGTGGAAAGAGGCATGGAAGTGCTTGAGGTACGACTACAGTCTGAGAATATATATATTTTTTAATCATTGCTTTTTTTGGATTTAGCCTATGCCAATTCTAGGATTGTATTTTTGTGACTAGACACTCAAGGGAATGTGTTTAGATATCAAAAGTGCCGGGCTCTCCAGCATCTTGAGTTGTCTCTTAACATTATCGGAGGCACCATCGGACGAATCTCCAAGACAGCAGAGGTTATTGGGGCTGTGCATCAGGTATCGGTCGATACTAACCCTTTAGACCGGTGGTTCAATAAATATTTTAATATGTTAAATCCCATTCTGTTTCTGTGAGTAGGAGGCTAAAGGGAGCCGTGCAGTGGAACTCATGGTGGCTCATGTGGAGAACCTGAAGCGCCGCCATGTGAGGAACAGCTTTGAACAGGAGGAGATGAAGAAACAGATGCGAGCAGAGGGGTAGGAAAACACCCATTTAGTTCTTTCACAATGTTAAAGTTATGATGCATCCACTAGCATTTTGGAAAAAATGTATTTGTGTCACTGCAGAGAAAACTGACGCTATTGAAAAGCTGGAAAAAGACCTACAGAAGATATTGACTGCATACTTGTTTGGCTTTCATTCTGAAAAATTATTTTGTTGTTTGTTTTCTTGGTTTAAGTAGATATATAAATAATTTATAGTTCGGATGTGAATTATATGATTTGTTTAGAGTATCATCAGATAATAATCTCTTTTGTTTGTCTCACTCTCAGCCACAGTTGGCGTAGAATCAGTACAAACATCATTGCAAAGCAAATCCAGGTCGGTGCACAATGATTCTCATCCATTCAATGACCACAATAAACTTCTAGTCTAAATTTAATTGAATTGCACTTGTAAATTTCTTTTCTCTTTTATTTGAAGAGGCAAAAATTGAAGGAGTCAGAAGCTATATTATCTTCAGTGACCAGTGAGATTACTGAAGAGAAAATCAACCACACAGAAACCTGACCACACAGATGACTGCCAAATGAACAGAGGGTAATTTGGATACATTTGTATATTTATAGTTGCAATGTAACAGAAATAGTGACATATCTTCTCTTCTGTATAGACAGCTGCAGGGATGATGTATTTTTGTAGGCCAAAACCCAGAAACAAAATAGCATTTTAGCACTTCCAGTTCTATCATCCTGAGGTCATTGGCCTTGTTTCACTGGGTTTTGGTTCACACAAGTTCAAGATATTTTCATGCTGTATTCTATGACCTAAAATATTTTAAAGATTTAAAGAGTAAAGATGTTTTTTTTAAAGCTTTTACTTTTCTTGAAAAAGGCAGGTGCTAACAAGTGGTTAAATGGGACTGCAGAGGTTGTTAAATGCCATCACATCGCACTGGTTAACTCATCTAATAACTAGTCCATTTTCACAGCCTCATTGTGTTTATAATCGCACTCTTGCAAGTTATTCTAACTCAAACTTTCAGAGTAAATAAAGACTGAAAGAGTTGTTGGCAGCTTAGTGATTGTGAAGTCATGCGATCGTGGTGTAGTTAATTTATAGTCTACATTTAGATTTTTACTTCTGCCAGTTGTATTTACATCAAAATAAATAAAAGTTGTGTTCATTTGTGAACATTATAATGATGAACAGAATGTGTAAGAATCATAAACTTTTGTTGGTTTGAGCTTATTGTCCACGATAATCCAAAAGATTTTTGTCCAGGGTACCAGTGTGATGCTAACTTCTAGGTTGGCCTACAAAAATACATCATCACTGTAGTGATGTACATCTGAGTGAAACAGATTATCGAACAAATAGAGGCTAGAGACTTGATTCAGTTTACATGAATGAGCCATTAACAATAAAATCAATAACATTTATTAAATAGATAAGGTGAATTTTCATTTCATGACAACTTTGTTAACATGAAATCAAATTTGATTTCTAATGGATAAAATCAAATCCTGTCTTTTTTCTTGTTTCATATCCTGTTTTACTTGGGAATACATAACATTTTGGAAATGAATTGGGTTGTGAATGATGTTTTATGCTGAAATACTACAGTATGAGTGTGATTAATAACCACATCCAAAGTCTCA